TGTCAAAAATATTATTTCCTGGGGGGCTGGAGAGATGGCTCAGCAGTTAAGAGCACTGGTTGTTCTTGCAGAAGACCTGGGTTTGAATCCCAGCAACCGCATGGTGGCTAACAACCATCTGTAACTCCAGCTCCAGGGGATCCAATGCCATCTTCTGTCCTCTGTGGGCACAGTTCAACACAGGTGCACTTACGTACATGCAGGCATAACTCTTATAACATATAAAAAACAAATTAAATTAAAAAATACTACTTCCCATTAGATATTTCATTTTGCAAAAAAAAAATCATTGACTATACATGATTTGGATTATTCCTTTTATGACAGTACCACACACTCTCGATCACTGAAACTTTCTACTAAATGTTGATATGGAGAATTTGACACAAATCTAACCCTCTCTGGCTATTACTATTCAACACTATTAATTATTGTGCTAGCTTATATTACCCAGAATCTCAAAAGGGAGTGAAATGCAACCAGATTGCAAAGGATAAAGTAAAATTGTCTTTTTGTTTTCTTGCAGAAGACATGATTTATCTCTAGAAAATCTAATCATGTCTACATGTAAGCTACTAGACTTCATAAAGGCGTTCATCAAAGCTTGAAGGATCAAAATCAACATGTTCTGAAAAATACAATGTATTTCTATATTCTAGCAAATGAAAACATACTATTTTTTGCAATAGTAAATTGCAAAAATGTAACAAAAGAACAGAAAACTTATACTGAAAGCAAAAGATAGCTTTCAAAAGTTATAAAAGATATAAATAAACAAGTAAATAACTTTTTTCATGGATTAAAGACTACAATTTTGCAGGCTGCCAATTTCTCCCAAAATTTTCTATAAAAGCCCCAGTAGGCTTTCCAATTTCAAAACTGTTTCAAACTACATAATCAAAACACTGTGTTACTGAAGTAAAGATGGATAAATAGATGAATGGAAGGGAATAGAGTCCAGAAAGAGACATACACATAGACAGGTAAAGAAAGCTAAAAGCTGGAGACAGTAGGTATTTCAATAAGCTGTGGCAGTGCACATGGATATATACATGCAAAAACAAAAATACACTTTCACTCTATGCCTTATAAAATTGAACTCAAAAGGCGCAATAGAGCTAAATTTAACATCTACAATGAATTTAAATGAATGGACTGGGGATCAAGAGCAGTGGTAGACAGTTTGCCTAGTGTTCACAAGTCCCTGGGTTCAAAATAAGACTGTTTAAAAGAAAAAATTAGGAGTAATTTTTATTAGTTTGAGTTAGAAAAAAATTCATAGATATCATACCCAATGTACAGTCCCTAATATGAACATGGGTAAATTGAGCTTTAGCAGAATTTAAAATCTTTGCTTTCCAAAATGCACAGCTGAGGGGAAACAGAATTAAGCTTGTAGAAAATATTTGCAAATTGTGTATCCAAGAAAAGACTTGCATTAGGACTATAAAAAGAATCTCAAAAGTCAATAAAAAGAAATTTATCAATTTTTTAAATAGCCAAAATATTTTAACAAACAAGTCCCAAAAATTGGGATAGCAAATAAATATGTGAAATCTATGTGGAAAAAAATGGCTGGATAGATGGCTCAGCAGTTAGGAGCACTGATTGCTCTTACAGAGGACCAGGGTTCAATTCCCAGTACCCATATGGCTGTTCGCACCTCTCCTTACCTCCAGTTCAAGGGGAATCCAGTACCCTCTTCTGGTTTCTGTGGGCATTGTTTGACAGTGCTTGACCTACCTACATGCAGGCAATACACTCATACAAATAAAAAATACATAAAAATATTAATAAAAAATGTATGAAAAAAATTCTCAAAAACAGTAGACATTAGGGGAGTTGCAGAGACGACTCTGTAGTTAAGAGCACTGGCTACTCTTACAGAGGACCTGGATTCGGTTCCTTGCCCCCAAATGCTGGCTATCAACCATCTTTAACTCCAGTTCCAGTGAATCTGATAGCCCTTTTTGTCCTCCACTGACGGTACATGAAAAAGGTGCACTTACATACATGTAGGCAAAGCACTCATACACAGAAAATAAAAATAAATTTAGAAAATAGACATTAGGAAAAATGCAAATTAATGTCATAATGAAATATTGCCTATCATTTGGATGGCTAAAGTTGTTACAGAATGGTCCTAAATGTTGCCAAGGATCTGGAGCAATTAGAACTCTCACACATTGCTAGTGGCAATTTTAAAAGATACAACCTTTTTGGAAAGCATTTTGACAGGTTCTTTATTAATTAAGTAGACGCCTAGCTTCTGACCCATTCATTTCCCTCCTAGGCATTTTCTCAAAAGTAATGAAAACCCATATTTGTACTCAAACACTTATATGTCAGTTTTCACGTAAATATGCTCTTTTTCCTCCCTCTCTCTCTCTCTCTCTCTCTCTCTCTCTCTCTCTCTCTCTCGACCAGAGGTTGACATTAGGGGTCTTCCTCAATGGCTCTCCACCTCCCCCCTTTAAAAAAAAATTATGTAGACCATGCTGGCCTCGATCTCACAGAGATATGCCTGCCTCTGCCTCCCGAATGCTCCCACCATGCCTGGCTCTACCTTATTTTCTGAGACAGCTTGGGTGAGTTCGAGGCCAGCCTGCTCTACGTAATGAGTTCCAGGACAGCTGGGGCTACAAGGGAGACCCTGTCTCAAAAAGACAAACAAAAAAACAAATCTGAATGATAGCCCATCCCTGTAATTTCATTACTCAGGAGGCTGAGGCTGGAGGATCTCAAGTTCAAAGCCAGTCTGGGCTGCATACAGAGACCCTGTCTCAAAAACTGGGAAAGAAAGGAAAAGAAGGGAGGGAAGGAAGACAGGCCAGAGCTCAGTGGCGGACTGCTTTCCTAGCATATGTGAAATCTTACTTTTGATTCTCAATGCCACAGGAAGTAAAAATTGATCCAATTGTGTGGGTTTTTTTTTAATGTGTATGAGTGTGTTGCCTGCATATGTGTAAGTGCACATGCTGCACTTGTGTTGTGCAATACCCAAGGAGGTCAGAAGAGAGTTACAGACTTCTTAGCTGTCATATGGGTGCTAGGAACTGAACCCACATTCTCTGCAAGACCAGCTAGTGCTCTTAATGCTGAGCCATCTCCCCAGCCCCAATAAGGTTTTTCTTTTGAGGGGTTGTCTTTTTGAGACAGGGGTCTCCCTGTAGCCCCAGCTGCCCTGGAACTCACTATGTAGACCAGGCTGGCCTTGAACTCACAATGATCCACTTGCCTCTGCCTCCCAAGTGCTGGGACTAAAGGCATGCACCACCACGCCCAGCCTCTGTAAATTATATTTCAATAAACATCTCAGGAGTGTGTATATATGTGGGGGCTTAAGAAGCTAGAAAATGGATTGTGGTAGGGAAGAGATCTTAAGGGTGGGCAACAGGGGATAATAGAAAGTATTTGACATGAAAGCAGAAGAGAGGAGTATCTAGGGGAAAGAAGGGAACCAGCCCAAGTGTGCGTGGGGCGGGGGGCAAAGAGAGGTTAGTTGAGGAGGGAAAAATTATAACAAAGTATAATAACACGTATTTATGAAAATTCGACAATGAAACCCATTGCTTCTTATGCCAATACAAAAGTAAATAACAAGTAAAGAATTTAGGAGAGAATAAGATGTCTGTGGAATGAGGTGCTCCCCAGGCAGCCCACCTCAGCTGGGGCACACTGGCTCCCAAGAGACTGAGTGCAAGGAAGCTTATCGTCAAGATGAATGTCTCCTTGACCATAGGTGCATCTATATTTATCTAAAAACTCTGAGCTCAGGACTAAGCAAGTAAGAAAGAAAAACAATCTCAGAGTCAAGGTGGCAACAACATGGCTGTGTACCAGAGAATTGATGGCATCAGCAGCTCTCAGCGCAGGACTTAAAACAAGGCTCTGCACCTCCTCATTTCATTAAGAACTTTGGCACTTCACATGGATAATAAGGGAAAAAAATCATCAGGGTGTCAAGATGGTGCCTGGGACCTTGCCGACCTGGCCACCCACCCACATATGATCTGCGCTGGACCGAGCCATGCTGAATTGATTGCCCACACATACCCACAACATGTACCTGAGGTGCCAGGAACTCCAGGCTTCCCTGGCAGTGGAACTTAGGCCACAGGGCCAGGCAGTTGGCACAACCAGGAGGCAGTTGCAACCACTCAACTGTGTGGCACCTAAGTGCACCTCTCTTGTGGGGGACTGGGTCTGCTTGTGGTCACTGCACAGTGTACCTATGGTCGTAGCAGCCAGCATCATCATCCATTGGCTGTCAAAGTCTGGCTGCAGTCTATAACAGCAATAAGAACCTGAGGAGTCTACAGATTACAGAAAATTAGCTAGAGGTCAATGATGTAAAGCTGCCATGTGAAGCCATGAAACATCCCAAGTGTCACACAGAGAATCTTGTATCAAAGACCTGGATTAACTGCTACCTGCTGTGAGGACCTAGCTTCTTCTTTTACTCATAGCAAAAACCTTTGTGGAATCAAATTGTTGGACAATACCTTGAACAGCAGTGGCGTGAGTGTGCTGAATGAAGGCATCCAAAAGGCCTGGAGAGAGCCAAAGTATAACCTGCATATACTCGGGCTGTGATCAACTGACTTTGATGAAGAATCCCAAGTGTCTCTGATCATTGGTGAAAAGAGAAAGCCCTACTTGACAATCATAAGCAGTGTGTAAGAGAAACAGAAAACAAATGTGAAAACTCCATTCCAAGAAATTTAGTTGTATTCTGATCCAGAATTATATGTGAAAGAAAGAGAGTGGGCCCTTACTTTGGTCTATCTGTGTGAAAGAATTATGGACAGTCTAATGAGGTATGACTTCTTTGGCACCTAGTTTAGATGTGTTTCATAAGATGGATAGAGTTTTTCATATGCTAACAGAGGTCATGAATTGGGAAAGGAGGGTAGAAAGGTGAGGATGGATACAGGAGGGGTTTGGAACATAATCAAAATACATTGTATGAAATTCTAGATTCAATAAAACATTTTTTTCAGGGGAGAGCATGCACGCAGTCCTCCACTACCACAAGTTATGCAGCTGAGTTTTCCTCATTTGGGGAAATCACAGGATTCAGCACATCCCAAGTGCAATGGATGAACTTTGGCTTGGGAAAACCATCTTCCTGATCATAGTGTCTCCCCACCAGATAAATATAATAAAACATTTTTTTAAAAAAAAGAAAAGAAGTTAAAAAATAATAATTAAAGAAAAACAACTTAGGAAATGAAACAGTCTTCACAAATAAAAATATTAGTTAACATTTCTCAAATAGTTGTTATGTGCCAGGAATAACAAGTAGTTGTTATGTGCTTTAAGAATTGTTCATGCTGTTGAGAGAGCCATTGATAGCTTCCCAGAACTTAATGGTAAGATCCTTTTGCTGAAGACACCACATATTTCAGACACAGGACTTGGAAAGATTGAGATGAAACTGACTTGGAAGCCTCCTCCCCGAAGGCTAGTTCTCCTACACATGCTGCCAAGGGAGAAAACCAATAAATGGTTTTACCCATCTGTATAGCCAACAAATCACAATAATAACAGGTTTAGAAAATTATCTCTATAGGTGCAATAGTGGCACTTTTATCTTAGGGGTAATAAACAGCTGTTTAATTAGCCTGCTCAGTAGAAAGGAATTCATGCATTACAGCATTACCACGCCACATTGCATTTAATACCTGAATATAGCCTGACTCTTAATTTTACTTTTAAAGAGTGGGCCTGAACTTAGAGGACACCCATTCCCCCAGATGTCTCTTGGAGCTGTTCTGTGGAACTCTGCTGTGGAATCAGGCCTTACCCATACTTTTATTCAAAATGATTTCTCCAGCTTCAATTAGGGCACTACAAACTTGAATCTACCCTTATTTTATTAGCCTTTTCATCACTGGTTCTACATAATTCTTTACACATAATGTCAGATATCCTTCCCAGTCTTCGTTGTATTCAATGAAGATGTGTGCTTGTCCTTCAGTGCTTTGATATGCTAATTATCAAGGATACCCACATTCATTCCGTATCTTGGGGTGGAGTGACAAACAGTTTTCCAGGGAATAAGATCAGGTACCCAGGTCACAAGAGCACACATGGTTCTATGCCTTTGTGGGGCTTAATTAAAAGTCATTGTTCCAGATTCTGCCCATTTTATAAAATTCATTCCTATAATGCATGGCACTGTAAACATACCCAAGTACACGCCATTGGAGAGATCATAGACCCTAGAGAAGGACCTATTTTTTGTGATATTCCTAGACCAACATAATTTCTTACAACATTCTAAGTATGTATCCTTGTATTTATAGATAAGTATACCTTTCACCACTCATCAAAGAAGTTTCTTTATGGTAACAGATGAAGACTACAGAGTTCCACAAGGAACTCTATAGTTCCACTCTATTTCAGGCTGAAATACAGAGACTAAATGACTATGAGGTGCCCAGCCCTAAGTGATACATTTACAATGCAACTTCTACACCTAAGGAACATTGCAGAAGAGGAAGTGGAAAGACTTTAAGAGCCAGATGGAAAAGACACATGCTGCTAGTTAATGCATTCTATACATGATACAGAAGCTGCGCCAATGAAATCTCCTTGGTTTAGTAGCCAAATGAGATTTGAATAATGACAAAACTAGTTGACATGCAAGGTGGATGGGGAAAGTTTCTAGGAGTCCCACTACAAGATGAAGAGCTACATGCAATCAGTGGAAATGAGGAAGATGTGTGTGTGTGTGTGTGTGTGTGTGTGTGTATTTATAAATGGATGTATCTGTATCAAAGAAGAGGACAAGAAATTATGAGTGAGTCATGGCATTGACACAGGAGGAATTGAAGGTGGACTGGGAGGGTGGAAAGAATGCAAATGCAGTATTCATGTATCAAATTCCAGAGAACAAAACAATATATAAGAAAGAATTGTGCATACACTAATTAATTTCTCTATTAAATCAAACTACAATAGTTGCATTATTTTCATAGCCTCATTTTATTTGTGAGAAAATTAATGCACAGAAGAGTTCAATTTCTTTGACAGTGCCACAAGGAATAGTATATATTTCATCTTGTAATAATTGCTGAAACACATTAAGCACTTTTTATAACTTAGCTAACCACTTGGTATAACCTATATCATATAATTCTATAAGTAGGTGTTATGGGCAGCTTTGGTTGTCAACTTGATACACCTAGGAAGAAGGAACGTCAATTGGAGAATTTCCTCTTTTGGATTGGCTATGGGAAAGTCTGTGAGGCATTTTGTTTTATTGTTAATTTTTTTTAGAATTTTATGCACTGTATATTAATCATATCCAGACCCCTTCCCGCATTTCCACCCCCGCCCTATCTCCCTTCATGTTCTCTGTTATTGTTCTTTTTGTCATTTTTGTTGACTCTTTGGGGAATTCATGCAATGTGTTTCCATCATATTTAGACCTCCCTTCCCCAATATGTCCTTCAGTGTGTGTCCATCCACTGGAGCCTGGTCAACCTAACCAGCATTACACCCTTAAAGAAAACTATATCTCTCCCTCACAGTAGCCACTGGTTGCCAATAGTTCCTCAGCTAAGGCTCAAGCCACCTTCCTACCTCCCTACTTCCATGCTGGGATTCTCTCTGGCTTAAGATTATGTGGGACTTGTGCATGCTGTTACTATTGCCTGTGAGTTCTGAGGGGTAACTGCCCAACTGTCTGGAAAACTGTTTCTTTTTGGTCATCCACCACCTTTGGCTCTTACAATCTTTCTGCCCTCTCTTCCATAATGATGCCTATATCTTTGGAGGTGGAAGTTTGATATAGGTGTCCTATTGAGGGATAAGCACTCAGCCATCTCCTATTCTCAGCATTTTGAAGGGTTGTGTGTCCCTGTGTTAATCAACATCTGCTTCATGGGGAACCATCACTTGTGAGAATTGAGAGACGCAATATTTGATGGGAATAACATTAACATAATAAGTCATTAGGTGTCAATTTAATACTGTGTATATTTTTAAGAATAATAGCAGTAGGCTCACCCCTATGCCCTGTGAACTGTCTAGCTTTGGGTTTCTAAGCTTGATATCAGTGTCAGATATGAGCTTCATCTTGTGAAGTGGACCTTATATCCAGTAAAAAGAAAAAGGAGGGGGGGTCGGTAACTGTCACAATACCTGTGCCACTATTGCACAGATGGGCATATCTTGACATTTGTTGTTGTAACTCACACAATTCACAGCTGGGTAAGGTTCATGTTTACTTTTCACTTCCAGGAGCATGCATAACAACTTTGAGAACTATGAAAGCTAGCCAGTATTGATGAAGCTTTGAGATCAGTATCACCTTGATTTTTACTTGTTTGTTCTAAAACTCATTTATGTAGTATCTTCAGCAATAGTGTCTTACTGACAAGTTCTGATGGGTAACCAAGAGCAAGGTCAATGGCTACAATGGTTTGAGAGATCTGTGGAACCACTGGTCAACAGCTTTTAGAGATGGAACCCATTCCTGCAGTTTAGTTTTTTGTTTGTTTTGAGAGAGGGTCTCCCTGTAGCCACAGCCAGCTTGGATTTCTCTATGGAGACCAGGCTGACCTTGATTTCACAGAGTTCCACCTGCCTCTACCTCTCAGGTGCAGGGATTAAAGGCATGTGACCAAACCTGGCACATTTAGTTTTTATTTTTTGCCTATGGCGTCCTGTAGGGGAAATGTCCCCCAATTATAGGGTAACTCTTTTTTATTTTTTTGTCTTTTTGAGACAGGGTCTCCATGTAGCTCCAGCTGGACTGGAACTCACTATGTAGACCAGGTTGACCTCAAACTCTCAGAGATCTGCCTGCTTCTGCCTCCTGAGTGCTGGGATCAAAGGCATGTGCCACCACATCCAGTGGTAACTGGTTTTAATCTTTTTTTATATTGTATATGTATATACATTTAGAAGCTTCCATAGTAGTAGGTTTCTATATGACTTTTTATGCTATTTAATATTTTTTATGTGCTTGACCTGAATACACATATGTGCACCCATGTTGTGCATTGTCTTAGGAGACCAGAAGAGGGCATTGGAGCTCCTGAAACTGGAGTCATAGACAGTTGTTAGTTGTCGTATGGGTGTTGGGAACAAAACCTGGTCCTGTGCAAGGGCAGCAGGTGCTCTCAACTGCTGATATATCTCTCTAGCATGTCATATGACCTTTTCTAAAGGATTTTAGTCTTAGTTATCCCTCACCATGCTCCCTCCCCTGTCCTGTCCTTCCATTTCCCAACCCCTTTAAAACTTCCTACTCCTTTCCTTCTTTACATCGCTGTATCTTATCTCTCCTCCAATGAAACCCCTCCCATTTCCATTTACTAATTTCTTAACCTCCATGGATTTTCCAATTGAAACACGCATGACTAAAGATTCAGAACTAGCATCCAATTATGAGGTAGAGTATGTGATGCTTGACTTTGTGAATCTAAGTTACCTCCCTCAGGAGTATTGCTTCCAGTTCCATTCAATAACCTGCAGATTTTATAATTTTATTTTTCCTAACAGCTGAATAAATTTCCAATGTATAAATGTACTATACTTTCATAATCCATTCATCAGTTGATGGACATCTAGGTTTTTTCCATTTTCTGGAAATGGAATAGAGCAGCGATGAACATGGATGAACACGAATCTTTGTCGTAGGATATAGAGTCCTTTGGGTATATACCCAGGAGTGTTATGACTGGGTCATGTGATAAATCTAGTTCTAGCATTTGAGGGATCTCCACAATGATTTCCATAGTGGATGCACTAGTTTGCACTGCTGCTAGCAGTAAATAAGATTTCCCCTTTCCCCATAGCCTCACCAGTGTTTGTTATTGTTGGTTTTTGGATCTTAGCCATTCTGAGTGGGTTAAGATGAAACTCAAAGTGGATTTAATTTAAATTTCCCTGATGGCTAAAGATGTTGAACATGGTTTTGTTTTTCTTTTTTTTGGGGGGGTGAGGGTGGGGGGGTTGATACAGGGTCTCCCCGTAGCCCCAGCTGGCCTGTATCTTAGTATGTAGACCAGGCTAGCCTCAGAAAGATTTGCCTTCCTCTGCCTCTCCATTTCTGGGATTAAAGGTGTGCACCAGCATGCCCAGCTAGATGTAGAACATATTAAAAAATATTTGTCAACAATTTGTCTTTCATCTTTTGAGAAATT